TTGACAATTCCATTCCGCATTCATAGAAACAAACCGTCCCTCGACCAGCCTGGAGAACGGCTTCCTTGTCGTTCGGGTCCAGGTCTTTCTTCCAAGTGTCGTGCACACCACCCGTGGCCTCGGTCAACTCTGCCTTGCAGCTTGCTGCATCCGTCAGCAAGGATGCAGCAACTGCGCCCAAAGTCTCCAAGAGGACCTCATGGGTGAGGAGGCTTTCGAAGGCGGACGACACCCCGGAGTCGTACACCTGAGCCACCTCCTCCGGCATTGAATCATCGGCAGCTTCCGCAATGAGCTTTTCCGTTGTCTGACACTTGGCCTGGCAATTGCACATCCCTCGGCAAGCTTTTGCTACCGCTTCGAGGCAATTCACCTTGACATCCGCTTTTTCCAGCTTCCTGAGCTCCCAAACGAAGGACGATGCGAAGAACAACATGTCCACGACTGACGTGAGGTACTCTTGCACTTGGGCGGGTGTTGCCGTTTTCATCATCTTGATGGAGAGCTTCAAACACTGCCACCGGGTCTTGAAGGTGGCTTGCGGGATGTTGACATCAGTAGCCTGGTCGAAATAACACATTTCAGCACGGCTTTTGTAACACAACATAAAAAGTTAGCAGGTCCCAGCTACCAGTTACCAGCAAGCCACGTAATTCAGTTCTGGAAATGGCTCAAAATGTGTGTAATGGCACAGGTTGCTTTAGCATGGCATGATTGTCGCGACGAGCTCCGCCACTAGCTGAGGCCACATACTTCAGATTTGTACGTAGATGTGTAGTACACTTAGGCTTTTAAAGTATAGGTCAGGTCTAACTGCACTTCCACAGGCCAACCGTCACACAGCATCAACATGCAGCAGCCCTGGACTTTTGGGCTGGGGGTTTGTGGAATCTATGGAATCTATGGACACTGTATCCAGGTTTCAATTCCACTGCATTTTTACGGACTAAGTAGCTGGCCTCCTCGGGTTTGGCGGTTGTGGCTGGCGGCAAAAGAGCTGTTTGAAAGGAATTTGCATACTTTGAGGCTTACGGGCTTCAAGCTTCAACAGTCACGAGGCTCACGTGTGGAGTTCAAGAGCTGTCACCTGCAATGTTTACACTACACTGTCTACAGTCTAGAATCTAGAACACTGTCAACACTCATGAATGCAGCGGCTTTAATCCTTGTTCTAACAGCCTTGGCCACTTTATCCGATGTTACCCAACCCACATGCAATCGGATCCTTGCGCATTGCCACAGTAGTCCTAGTAAGACTTTGTTTTGCCCAACACCCAATCATCCCAATGTCGTTTCTAAGACTTCGACTGTTGCAAAGTTTTGGGGGCTCGACACCGGATCGCACTCAATGCACTAAATGGCTGCATCATCAACAAACAGGCTGCTAGCTAGCAGTGGGTCATCCGACACACATGTGAACCGTTCAAGTGACACATCACCCCTTCACAATGCAACGCACCTCCACTTTGGCGGTCGCCAACATGCGCGGCACCAACTTGAACAACTTCGTCGCATCCTCCGGCTTCATGTCAACCCGGCTAAGCTGGGAGATGAGGGTCGCAAGCTCCTCGAGGGAAATGGTGTCCTTCTTGTGCAAGGCCTGCTCCAGGTTCACGAGCTCCACTGCCACCTGATGCTTTTCCTTCCAACGCTTCAGCTTGGAAATCGCGTCCAAGACACCCTCGCGAGCCTCGAAGTGCGGCAAGCCTGACGCGATCACCGCATAGAGGTCCAACTCCTCCGGGCCCGGGCTGGAGCACAAAATCAATGAGAAAGCTGACTTCAAGAGTGAATCCAGCATTGGCGTCTCCACTTTGTCCATCATGCCCTGCCTTACTTCGGCCTTCATGGCCGGGACTTCCTCCACCAAGATCTTGAGCTTCTCCTGGTCGAGACTGCCCGCGACCCAGTCTCTGAACGTCCGATAGCGAGGCAAATGCTTCATGGTCGCCACACCCGTCTTGATGATGTCATTGGCCACAGCGGCCCAGAATTCGGACTGCAAACTGTTCTTCACGCTGTTCTCAAGGAAATCGGTGCCACTGTAGTTTCGGATCTTCTGCAAGTCCTCCACCGTGGCGCCAAAGGTGTTGTCTGCCGACAACATGACACAGAATGCTTTGCAGATGGCCGAGATGGAGAGGCAAACGTTCTTCACGGGATCTGCCACACCACTGTCGTCCTGGCCCTGCAGCCACTCGGTGATCTTGGTCAGCAGGCCATCAGTCAGACCCTTGAGCTCCTTCAGGTGCAAGCGGCCACCGTTCAGCAACCGGAAGAAACTGTCACAAGCAAAGCTTTCCCCGAGGGATTCCGCGATGACCTAGCAATTGCAAACATCGGGAAATCTCGGGTTCATGATTTTGCCAGAATGCATGTCTCTTGTGAAGATTTCAGGCTCCGACGTATCAAAGTCAAACGAGGAAGCTGCAGCTACAAAAAGACAGAACGCCATCGTCAAATAGGCATTTGTTTTGGAAAAGGAAACACTCCAAAAAACGATTCAATGCCTCCTACGTAATCAAATTTTAATTTTCAATCACTCTTCCCTCTTCTGGTTTTGCCTGGCTCTGCATGCATCATTTACTTGGGGCGCTGGGACCTACGACCTACGACTTCAGGACGCTTGGTCGTGGATTGATTCTATCTATGGACTTGGTTACCAGTTACTAGCAGTCAGCACCTATACACCGATGCCCCACCGTTGACCCTTATGGGCCATATGGTCAGCGTCATAGTCACCTACATGAACTCAAGACTGTAACCGACATGGTTTTGCACAGATGCTTCATATTCTGATTTTCTGGCAGGAAATGATGTCGCTGCAATGCTTTCATGATGACATCCAGGCATTCACTGACCATGATCTGAAAAACCTGCGAAGGTATCTTATCGGGACAGTCGAAGTGGCATGGATGGACAGTGTCCAACTCACACTACAAACTACATGGACGACTACTACTGACTGAGTACTTCGAGGGAGCCGCCATGGGGAGGACAGGATGCCCAAGAAATTATGTACAGACATGAGCAGCACCGTGCATGTGTGCATCGTGCATGTGTGCACCGTGCATGCGTGCAACTGTCAGCTAAGACTGCATCGCAAACAGACGCTCACACACACACACACACACACACACACACGCGCGCACACACACACACACACACCCCGCGACACACACTTGGAAGCGGTAAGTCGCACCGCACCGTCGGATGGCTTCTCATTACAATGTGCTTGCTTGCTTAGTTGTGGAGTGGGCCTGAAAGCACTGTCAGATTGCTGCAACCGTACATGTCATGTGAGCCTGCAAAGACTGCTGAGCTGAGCAATGGACCAATGTTGGATTGCACAGCGAGGATATCACAAGATGGCACCATACACAGCTTGTATTATGAAGATGTCACAAACTTATCAAATTCTGCTGCAGGTACAGGAACGTGATCAGCCTTCCTCTCCCATGTCACTGGTAGCTGGTAGCTTCGTTGGACACAGTCGCACAGTCCCAGTGGCATGCTGTGTCCCCCTGCAAATGGAAATGACATCAAACTTTGACAAAGCTGCAATCTGACACGACAATAAACAACATCTTGCAGCACGAAGACTGACGGCTACCAAGCGAGATCGGGTTATGAGCCCCTTGCTTGCCTCATGTACGAGAGACGTTCACACACACGCTGCCCCTGTTCAAGGGCGCATGCTGTCGGCTGCAAATTGCACTGCAATGTTACATAGAAGTGGCTTGTGTGCAATGTGCAATGACAGCAGGCAGAGCCTACAGATTTTTTCTAGGGCAGCATGCAGAGGATATCACGGTCAAGCTGCAAGCTCAAGGAAGGTTTGTAGCACAACTCTGTGGATCAAACCTGCAGGAGGTTTGTCAGCGACAAAGCAGTCAGCCTTTCAAAATGTATGTCAAAAGCTTTTCTATAGGTAGGTTTGCCTTTGAAGCAAATCAAGCTCGCGTATAAACCGCCATGCCATAATAGCAAACTAATCGCTGTCTGCGATATCTTGCTGGCTAGCTGGTAGCTGCTGGTTGCTCCAACTCGAGAAGCTGCAGAATATCTTCAATGTTGTCCGCCTTGCCCCCCTTACCCCTGCGTCCCTGCACTTGCAGACTCCGAATCCGCTCAGAGCTGAAACAACATCTACCCCACTAGTCACTAAGTCACTAAGTGCAGTCGACCCACTAGACACTCGAAACATTGCCGTGCCTCCATGGAAGCTGCCTCGTCATCCACGTCCGTGTTCCCGTCACCGAAAAGCTTGCTTCTCTCCAGAAGTGCCTGGAAGCCGGTCAGCAAGCCGTCGAATGTGGGCTCATTCCAATCGAAGGTGGCCGCCGAATCGGGAGTGAGGGCAATCTTTGCGATGATCCTCTCAACCTTGGCCTCCTTGGACTCCTTGGAGTTGGAGCTGGAGGCGGCACAGCTCTGCAACAAGTCCTCGAAAGCTGCTTCAACCTCGGCCACGGTGTGCGCACACTGCACTTGCACCGGCACGTCCCAGCTGACAGCCTTGATTGCCTCCAAGTGCATGAGCCTGTTGGCTTTGGTCATCTTTTGACCTTGTCTAGGCCATCCTTGACGGACAAGAGGGTGGCTGCTTCGGCTGCGACCACGTAAGGTCGAAGGAGATGTTGGTTTTTGTCGCCTTCTTTCTCCATTTGCGTGAGCATCCGCCTCGCCTGCATCCGAAACTTGCTACCGCTAAACCGCCATACATAAGGCGTAAGCCGTAAGCCCAAACAGTCAGTGGATCATATTGCTTTGTCACTGTTACTGATACTGCTCATGTTGTCTAGCAGCTAGCAGATAGCAGATACCAGCAGCAGCAGTCTGGCCATGCATTGGCAAAAACGTTCAACACAGCGACGCAATCATTGAATTAGTTGTTGAATGAATTCACTTAAAAACTAATTGAATGATTGTGTCGCTATGTTGAACAGTTTTGCTATCTACATGATCCGAATCCAGAGGAGGGCGTGAGAAGGTCCCACCGCGTCCACCGAACGGCCGTTGGCGACGGTGAAGCACTCCGGGTTCAATTTCAAGAAGCACTCAGGAATCTTGTTGATGCGCTGCGCGATGCGAGCAAGGTTGCCGGCCAGCTTGCTCAAGTTCGCATCGTCCAACTGAAGCTCCTTCTCCTTGTCCTTCCCAGTCGTGCTGGACCGGCCACCTCGGCTGAGTCGGCTTGGGGACTCCTTGCGGGCTTTCGAGCCAGCTTTGGCTTTGGCTCCCCTTCCTTTCGGTTTTTTCTTGTCTTCCTCCTCAAGCGTCCCAAGGTTCATCTCCAATGAGCCCGACGCTTGTGCATCCGCATGCAGCTGCTTCAGCTGCTTCGCAGCTTCGTCCTCCTCGGACTCGCTCTCGACCACTGCATGTCCTCTCGGACTGCACTGCTACGCTGCACTCATGTGTTTGGGAGCACATGTTGGCTGAAAGCTTTTGGTAATTTTGGTATTCACAGAATCCTCCTAGGCATCTTTGATCTACCCGATGCAAAGGACCATGTTGCAACTGAGGTGTGGCTACCAGAACTGTTTTACACCTGTGTTGTGTGCTGCCTGTGGGACTGTGGGCAAATTACCAATTTCAATTTCGGAGCTTTGAAGTGCCCTGCAAGTTGCGCGTCATGGACTCCTAGCCTTTGCTTCTCGATTTAGCATGCTACCATACCGAAAACGAGTGTCCATAAAATTATGCCACCAAGCTCCACAACATGCCATACGAAACATCAGGATCGATGCCATAGGTTTCAAAAGACGTGGTACTGAAACCAAGCTCCACAGCATGCCAAACGAAACATCAGGATCTATGCCATAGGTTTCAAAGGAAATGCTATTGCATAAAACGAACAAGCAAAGCCAATCACACCACGGACCTGCGGCTTCATCGTTGGCCTTGCCCGCACCCAGCTCCTCTTTCCTGTGTTCTTTCACCTCCAGGGCTTTCTGCACGACATCAGTGTACCTGAGACCGCCGGACTTGCTCTTCAAAGCTGCTTCGCGCTTCTCCAGCTCTGTCTTTGTGATCCACTTCCATGTGTTTGTGCCTTGTATCTGAGCAAGCTGGTTTTCCGGTTGCAGAAACAGCTCGTTGTGCTCTAGAATCTTGGAGCCGATGACTTTGACCCTCCGGCATGACCTCCACAGCTGCTCCGGCATGCCCACTGGGCTCATCAAGTACCCGAGCTGAGTCCCGCCGTTTTCAACTTTGAGCTCCACGGGCTTGTAGCCGCATGCGGAAGGGGTCATGTCTTTGCAGAGACTTGTCATTTCATCCTGATCCAAAAAGGCTAGTTTGTAGTACACTTGATACCCCTGCTGCTGACTGCGTTGAACAAGGCTCGGAGGATTCAGCTGGATCTGAGTCTCTTCTTCCACAACTTTAATGGCATTCTGGACGATCTGCTTGACTGCCGGATCCTGTTCCAGCTTGTCACACACCTTGGCCACGTCTTCCCCAGGATAGATGCGGACGATGATCTTTTTGTCCCGTCTGCAAAGAATCCCAACGGGTTTTCCTTGCTCGTCGTACAAGCCCCATGGAGTGTCCTGGAGTTCTGGTGGGCATCTTAACCTATGGGCTACAAAAGTCCGAAGCCCAAAAACTACGAAAACCCAAGTTGGCCCAAGTCCCAAGTACCCGGGCCGTCGGTTTGAGTCTCGCGACAACAAAATGATCATCACGGACACCGAACAACACCGTAACAGCAACAACAGCGAATGCACACAGCACATTTCTGGACCTGCAGAGCAAGATTAACACTGCATGCCTGCTCCTACGCAGCTATCAACGATAAGCTAGGCCAGCCTATAGGGCTATCGGCTATTAAATGGCTACTGTTATCAAGCGTGGAATGGAAGAGTCCGAGAGTCTCGAGCTGGAGCAGTCAAGCAAAGTGAAGTCAAAACCCTACATCCGAAATACTCATAGCAATCAGCTACGGGCCTGGGACTTGCGGCCACAGATGACACACGTCAGAATGATCATCACCTTCTGCTTCTTCAGACCAGGGGAAGGCCTCGAAGATGCAGGTATGCCGGCCACGTCATCCTTCCAAGCATCCGGAAGCAGGTCCGAGTCCAGCTCCATCAAACCAGGCATCGGCTGAGCGTCGGCGGGGGCGGTCTCCTGCTTCACCGGCTTAGCCTGCCAAGTATGCAATGCAAAGCCCCTCCTCAGTGCTGCGAGCCTTGTCTTACCCTGATCAAAACTGCTGCTGCTACTGCTGCTGCTGCTACTGCTGCTGCTGCTACTGCTGCTACCTTACTACCGGTATCGTTGGCAGCCAGTCGCTGCCGCTTATTACCTCCCCTGCCGACACATGTTGGCAAACACAGTGTATTAAACTCAAAAAGTCGCTCGCGAGGTCCAGACCGGGGCCAAAGCAAAGACTTCCGGCTACAATGTTGCAATTGCACCCGCCTTCGATTTGGCGGCGCTTGGTTGTTTCCTTTTCGACGCCATCGAGAACCTGGAGCTCAACAGTTGTTTCATCAAACGATTCATCACGGCACGGTTGCTAGCTGCTAGGAAGGGAGGCGTTTTCGCATGGTACACACAATGGAAACGCTTCTGAGACCGCATGACAGCATGGTCATGAATCCTGGCAAGCATTGGGGCTGACGTCACTGAAATGTCCTCAACTCTGAAGCCTTTAATCCGGGAATCCGTCGATGCGATCAGGGAACTCCGCACCGCTTTGCGCAAGTCGGCTGCTGCCTAGCTCTCGAGCTAACTTCTAGATTCTAGCTGCCTAGCTGCTGCAAGCTGTTGGCCCCTGACAAAAGAGGCAATGGCGGTCAATGGCGGCAGCGGCAATGCATTCTGATGTGCTGCCTACTGGATCTCATGGACATGCCGGGCTGGGCTCAATCCGATTCAACGACTGCAGAACACTTGAACTTGGAGAGTCGGCAGACAAGGTAAGTGGACAAAACTAAGTAGCCCCATTATTCCAATCAAGGTTTGCGTAGGGTGCTTATAAATATACTTCCTACTTACCAAGCCCCTCGACTCTCCAAGCAAGACATGGCAACAGCTGTGTGACCGGAAATTGAAACTCTCTTCTCATGCATCAACTTCGGAAGGCTGCACTGTTCTATAAACTCCCTCAGCGCGCAGGCACATTAGCAATGTGATGGGCTGCCAGCTTCTGCAATATGAACCGGACTGCTATGACCGACTAACAAGCTTATGAGCCTAGGCCCAGAGCCTATAGGCCTACAGCTTAGACGTGAAAACCTACAAGGCATAAGGCTGGGCTTTGCGTGTAGCTGCTGGAACAGCACTCGTGCACAGCGTCACTGCTATCGCTGCACCACATTGCCTGGACGCTGTAGAGCACTACTTCCCCAGAGCCTCCAAAACACCTGAAATAAGTAATGTGACTACAGTGACTACAAGAAACCTTAAACTATATTCGATTATTCGGAGTCCTATTCCAAATTAAGGTGCATTCCTTATTTCAGGTATTTTGGAGGCTCTCGGACTTTACCTAGATCCATGTCAGTGGCCAGGCCTGGTGTCGGCGTCGGGTCATGCAAACGCTGCATCACACGATAGTCTGTGTGCATGCTGAGTTGATCACGATCACATCACTGTTTTGGGCCGTTCCCAAACAATTTTCTGCATAGCATTGACACAGCCTATATAAATTCAATGATTCCAAGAATCCTAATCATAATCTATGCCCTATAGAACCATGGTACCTAGAGTCCTAGAGTGACCTAAAGTCTAGAAATGGGACAGTGCACTGCTACCCGGTACGCGGCTATCTATCCAAACCATGGCCACTGCACCAGCATGCCACTCCACAGAAGGCACCAGAGGGAACACTGTTACGAACAGTGTTCCGGCAGAGAAAAAAACATCCCTTCGACGTCGCTCCACGTCGCTCCTTCGACGTCGCTCCACGTCGTTTACTCTATACTTGGAAAGCAGGGAACTTAATGACTGAGTAAGTAAGTAAGCAAGTAAGTGGTAAGTAGACGAAACAGACTGTGACGAAGCAGACTCATCAGTACCCTGAAAAGGATTGTAATTGGAACTAGCCCATTCAATAAGTCTACTTAATGTACTACCTGCTACTACCTACTTTGTAAAGTCACCCTGACTTTCCAAGTCTACTATATGTCGCACTCTACTTCTTCGCCGAATGCTGCAAGGAAGCCTCTCTCTCAGCAGCTGGACCTAACGATAATTTGCAAGGCTACGGTGCAAGCGCAAGGTTGAAGGTTCGTTTTGGGATTCAGTTTCGGTTTGGGGTTGCATAAGAGATGGACGATTAAAGCAAGTCCCACAAAGGCTGACAGACCCCCCCCCCTCACAAGTAGCTGCATCCTTTATGCCTGCCTGAACCCCAAACCCAAAAGCCTGCACATGCAGCCTGAACACCACACCTAAAACCAAGTATCCCCGAGCAAACCCTTACCATCCCCATCCAGAAACCCTCAACTCTCTCTCCCTGTCATGAAAGCTGTCGTAATGTCCAACCAGATCCGAGCTGTCCCTGAGCAGGGCTTGCAGCTTGCAGCCATCGAATTAAGGCATGGAATCTGCACATCGCTGAAAAGTCCGGATTTACTCAGGAAACTGTTTGCAGAGGTAGAGTGCCCAGATAATCGTGCCTATGCACGGCAGTGCATAGCCCTCTCCCGCCAGGCTCCGCTTCTTGTTGTCTGTCATGTCAGCAGGAAAATGATAGTCATCAGGGTCATGCCCCTGCAGGCGAAAGTGCTCATCTACCGTGAGAACACGATCTCTGGAAAACACATACACCTGGCTTGAGGTTGTCAGCGTCCTGTGGACGCTGGTCTTATTGACAACCTTTCGATTGTGAGATTGCGACACGTCCAACCAAACGCCTTGCATCAAGTCCCGCAGCTGCCGATCAGTCAGCCTCACACCTAGCTTTCTCACAGACATGAGCCGTTCTGCCACGACACAATCCATGAGATCACAGATTCGAGGATTCAAAGTCAGCCCTGAACCACGAAAGTTCGGACGGCTCGTCCAAGGCCGATAATCAGGGAGTACACCAAGCTTGTCGCGCCAGCTGCAGCTCTCAAACCACCACTTCGGCTTCGGCGCCGTCGGGTCATCAGTGTCCAAAACCTGGCAGCAGGGCAGTGCCAGGCCAGGCGGGCAGGACAGCCAGGAGGAAGGGGTCGGGGCATCCGGGGAGCTCGGGACTGGGCTGGCTGGGTCCGGCGGGTTGGGCCTGGAAAGCGGCATTTTCAACCCATTTGGACCTCCATGTTTCCGCCATTCCAGACCCCATTCCAGACCCCATTCCAGACCCCATTTTTGGTCCATTCAAATCCCATTTTTTTTGCATTTTGCTAGGCAAAATGCAAAAAAAATGGGATTTGAATGGGAATGAAATGGAAACCAGAGGAGAGTAAGTGGGAATTAAATGCAACAACACATGGACGGGAAAATGCAAGGGAAATGGCTCTCCCAATGTAAGAGAAGAACTAGTCCTGGAAGCCGTTCCGTTGAAATGCGAAAAAAATGCAAGGCCGGGGTCCGGGCAGTCCCAGGGCCGAGGCTTGGGAGGGGGTCGGGAGATGGGGAGGGCCTGGAAAGGGATCTCTGAAGGGCAGCGGCTTTACTTCATAGGAACAATCGACGAAACAGCAACAAGTTTCCAAGTTGGGTTCAGAAGCCTCGCAACAAGCACAGTAATTACAGCGACAGCCACAGCTAAGCAGCTAAGACAGCTAAGACTCGTAAGACGGCTAAGCATGGTCAAGAGTTCACAGCGACCGACTGCCAAAGGAGTGAAACTACGTCTGCCAGGTTCTGGACACAGCAGTGCTGCAAACGCCTGAAGTTGCCGAGGCTGCCCAACAGCCACGTCCTCCTCACGAAACTTGCCACGAAACATCACTAAACGACCAGCAGACTCACCAGACATGTGTTGCTGCTTGCAGCTTGCAAGATTCTGCAAGATCAAACGCGCTTCACTAAAGAGACTGAGATCTGCTAACTCATGGGATCGGCAAAGCCAGCTACAGCACAAGCTCAGGGATGGACACCGATGGACTCCATTCTCATGGCTCTAAATCAACCCACCCTGAAGCTCCATCGTCACTACCAGTGAATACCACCAACTGTCACTAACTCTGGAACCACCGTCCGTGTCCTCATTCTCTTCTGACAGCAAGGTCTCGCAATCGACTGGGCCGGCAGCTTTCTGCTTCAGCACAATGGCCTGACAGCAACGGTGCAGCACAAGTCAAGACTTTTCAGACAAGGGAAGCTATAGTAATAGAGTATTAGAACATAACAACAATAATAACAAGAACCCGAATCTAGAAACTCTCATCTGCAATCTACAATCTACAAATCTACATTCTACAAGATGGTTGAATGCTGACGGCAGAAACTACAGTAACAGTAACTGTAACTGTAACTGTAATAACACTACAATACTGAAGGCTGAGCTCCTCAACGATTGCTTCGAAGCGGGACACATCCGCCTCCGTGTATTTGTCCTTGCGGAAGAAGACCAGGAAGATCCTGCGGCCACAATTTGCAAACTGTCTCTAGCAGACTCTAGCAGCTCTTGCAGACTCTAGCAGCCACACACTCTAAGTCTCAGTCCAGCGCACAAAAACTTGCAGGAGCAAGACTGCCAGGAGTCCAGGAATACTTTGACAGTTGGTGATTGTAGTATTGTAAATATTGTAGTGCACTGGTCGGAAGTAAGTTTCACAAACATGTGGACCCAGACCTAACCATTTCAAACAAATAATGAAATAATGACGAACCTCCTGGCTACGTCCCCCCGACTGTCCAAATAATTGCAGCTAACAGGCAGCATTACTGCATCTGAGCAAGAGCAAGACATCTTTTTTTCAAATACCCGGCCAGGTTGACTGAACACTCTGTGCTGAGCTGCAGCTGCAGCTAGGGGTTCCACACAGGTCCGTTCTGCGCTGGGCACTTTTACATTCTTTTAACAAGCCTGAAGGGTCGTTCTAGAGTATATTAGAGTCGCCAAGGATCATTAACATCATTATTAGCGTTGTTAGAGCTGTTAGAGTTAGAGTTAGAGTCTGTTAGAGTACAGCAGTAAAACACTGCAGTGGAAACTT